TGGAAGTCGTAAGTGTAAGTATAACTTTATAAGAAACTGCTGGACTGTTTTTTAAGTGATGGTACATTTTGCATTTCCACTGGCATTTATCAGTATTCCAATGTATGCCTGCACCAAAAACTACACCTTCGCAGGTTTTGTTGTTTGTTTGCTTTTATTTTCACTATTCAAATAGCTGTATCTCATTGTGTTTTTAGTTTGCATTTTTCTAATAACACATTATGTTGATGACATCTAACATTTTATTAAGAGTATTTACATCACATAATTGAATTATTAATGTGGTTGGCTTTAAATTTATCATCTTGCTGTTTTGTTTTTGATTTTTCCCGTCTGTTCTTTGTTTCCATTTTCTCATTGTCTTTTTTTGTTTAAATTGAGTAGTTTCATTGCTTCCATTTTATCTCTTTTGTAGCTTTATTATCTATAACTCTTGTTAAAAATTATTTTAGAGGTTGTTTTGGAGATTCATATTATAATCTATAATTTATTGCAATCTACCTTCAAGTGAATTTTACCACTTAACATATAACATAAAAACTGTATAGTAATATAATTGCATTTATTCTATTCTAGCTTTTGTTTTATTGTTGGCATACATTTTACTTGCACATATGCTAAAAATTCCATAATACAATATATCATATTTAAAAAAATCCTCACCAGAGGTCTTTTTTCCACTTACCTTCAGATAGAGTGGGAGGGAGGAAGAGAAAGAGAGAGAGACATTTATGTGAGAGAGACACATTGATTGGTTGCCTTCCACACCATCCTGACCAGGGCCAGGAACCAAACTGCAACCGAGGCACGTGCCCTTGACCAGAATCGAACCCATGACTCTTTGTTCCATGGGCTGACACTCTAACAGCTGAGCCAAACCCACCAGGGCCAAAGTATCATTTTTTAAAGAGTGAAGCTTTTAAAGAGATTATAAGTAATTGGGAAAATTCACATATTTATCTACGTAGTTACCATTTCTGGTACACATCTAAACCTTATGTAGATGAATATTTTCATTTGGTATAATTTATCTTTTGACTAGAGTGAGTTTCTTCAAGAATTTTTTGTAGTGTAGGTCTGCTGGTTGTACATTTTTTCAGACTTTTGTGTCTGGAAAAGCTTTCTGATGCCTTCATTTTAGAAGATAATTTATCTGGTTATAGAATGTTAGTGTGACAGTTTTTTTTACTTTGACTACTTTGAAGATGTTACTGTACTGTCTTCTACCATGCTTTTATCTTAATGAGAAATCTGTTACTATTCTTCCTTTGTTCCTATGAAGAAAAGATGTCTTTTTTATTTTGGTGGTTTTAGGATTTTTCTCATCACTAATATTATACAGTTTGATTATGATGTGATTTGTAATTTTATTCATACTTCTTATGTCTGGAGTTTGTTGAACTTCTTGGGCTTGTGAGCTTATAGATTTCATCAAATTTTATTAAAAATTTTAACAATTTTTTGAAATATATTTTTCTGTGACCCTTTTTTCTCTTTACCTTTTGGGGACTCTAATTTCAAATTTATTAGGCTGCTTGCAATTGTCCCAGAGCTCACTGATAGTCTGTTAATTTTTTAATTTGCTTTTCATTTTTCATTTCATTCTGAATATATTTTGTTGCTGTGTCTTTAAGATCATTATTTTCTTCTATAATGTCTAATCAGATATGAATCTCATCCAGGATACTTTTCATATCAAACGTTGTAGTTTCCACCTCTGGAAGTTTTATTTTTTCTTATGTCTATACTTAACTATTTGAATACATGGAATGCAGTTATAATAATTATTTTAATGTCCTTGCCTGCTGATTTTTACATTTGTGCTAGTTCTGGGCTGGTTTCAATTGGTTGACCATCATGTGGGTCCATTTTCCTACTTCTTTGCATGCTTGGTAATTCCTGATTAGATGCTAGACATTGTGAATTTTATCATATTGGGTGTTTTATATTTTTGTATTCCTATGAATTTTCTTCAGGTTTATTCTCAAAATGCTCTTAAGTTATCTACAAAGAAGTTGATTCTTTCAGGTACTGCTTTCAAGATTTATTAGGCAGGCTGGAGTAGTGCTTAGTTTAGGGTTCATTATTCCCACTACTGAGGCAAGACCTTTCTATGCATTTAACAGTGACCTGTGAGTTATTGGTTTTTCCCATCTGGCAGGTGCCAACAGACACCTGTGTTAGTGCTGGGAACCTTATCCTAAGTAACTTTTTAAAAGGTTATTAGATGCATAGACGTGCTGATATGTGGTACAAAAACCATAGGGGAAAATTTTTAAGTAAGAAAGAATATGTATTTTTTGTAACTTGGTATAATATATATGGATTTAAAAATGAATTGTGTTTGAATTTTAGAGTGATTTATTATCACTGGATTTTTTCTATTATTTTATTAAAGTTTATATTTTATCAATGTAATGAGTTCATTTCTGCTAATTTGTGGTAAGCAAAGCATCAAAAATGCAATATTAATTTCTTTTTGAAATTAAATAAAGCATAATATTCTTTTTCCCATGTTAGCTCAACATATACCACAGATTTTCTTATAAATTATAGTTTTTTTTTTTTTTTAAATCTTCACCCTAGGATATTTTTCTATTTATCTTCAAATAGAGTGGGAGGGGGAGGGAGGGAGGGGGAGAGAGAGAGAGAGAGAGAGAGAGAGAGAGAGAGAGAGAGACACTGACGGGCTGCCTCCTGCACACGACCCTGACCAGGGCTGGGGATGAACTGCAACCAAGGTATGTGCCCTTGACAGGAATCGAACCCGTGACTCATTTGCTGCGGGTCAGTGCTCTAACCACTGAGCAACATAAATTATATGTTTAAAAATATCTTTTTTATTGCCTGGGAAGAGGAACTACAGTGATACCTCGGTTCTTGAACATAATTCGTTCCAGGAGGACGGTCGAGAACCGAATTGTTCGAGAACCGAAGCAATGAAACCCAATAGGAAAGCGGACTCCACAAAGTGTGACTCTCTCTCTGCACTCACACTGATGACGCGAGCAAGGCGCGCTGGGCCGAATGAACGCCATTCGGCTCAACTCGGAAGTTCGAGTTCCAAATATTTGTTCGGATTCTGAGACAAAAGTTTCTCGAATCCTGATTTGGTCGAAAACCGAGGCGTTCGAGAACCGAGGTATCACTGTATTAATACATAAAATAAATGATGTCAAAAGTAGAGTCATGACAGTAGGATGAGGTAAGTTTTACCACATAAAAACAAGCTTAATATTTCTAAAATATATTGATGAAATTTAACTTTCTAAGCATTATGAGCCTGCCTAAATGGTTTTACAAATGATTGTAGGGGTTTTGTACAGTGTGGAATATTTAATTAAAAATATGCATTTAGCAAATTACTATTTGAAGATATTTAAATAGTGAAAGGGTTGACAGCATTTATATTGTAGAAAAAATACTTACTCTAATATTGTATTATAAATATGTGAATAGCAGAATTACATAATGGCTGAGATAACTTATAAATTAAGAAGTTTAATGATACACTTGTCCTACTATGGCAAGTTAAAAAATGAGGTGGAGCCCTGGCCAGGTGGCTCAGTTGCTTGGAGAATCATCTTGTACACCAAAAGATTGTGGGTTTGATTCCCATTCAGGGCACATATCTAGGTTGTGGGTTTGATCCCTAGTCAGGGCACATATGGGAGGCAATGATCCCTATTTCTCTCTCACATCGATCTCTCTCTCTCTCTCAAAATCAACATAAAAACATATGCTCAGGTGAGAATTTATAAAAAAATGAGGTGGAGGGAGATGCAGAACACTGAAGACACATTCAGTGAATAAGGGATGTAGCAGGATAAATAATTGATGTCAGTATAGATGAGTTGGGTGGGGGAGTGGTAAAGTCATTCCTCTATTTCTTAATAATGGAGAAAGGATGAGTCTGATTTTTCAATTATATTCTGATCTCTGATAATGTAATAAAAATATATTTTTGCTAATATCTAAAAAAATCTGAGATTAAAGTAATATAATTTTACATTCACTGATATAGTATTAACATTTAAATTCTAGCATATCTTTATTATTTTAAGTGTAAAATCCTGTAATATTTTATATCAACTTTTATAATTAAATATGAATGTCTAATTTTATCACTTTCAAATACATTAGCAGAAATAGAAAATTGGTTTATTTAAACACTGAAGAATTTAACCTAAAATTCTGTTGACTATTTTAAAAACTTACTCAATGATGTCTTAACCAAGCTAGAAGAAGACTGGGAGCAACATGTCTCTTGAACTAGACAAGTGCATATGATGAATACAGGTGAATTGCCAGCACCTCTGAGGTTGGACTGTCCCTTTCTCCTTGATGAAATTGTTATTGCTGATACAGAAAATTTCTATTTGTTGCTACACTTTTTTATTTAGCTCCTTTTCTGAACCTTTACCAGTCTTGTCTTATTCTAGTTAATTACTTTTTTGAAGGTTTTCAAGACATTAACCGGAAAATAACTAGAAAAGATGCCCCATTTACCACAGTGACTTGGCTTCTCAGAAATCTTCAAATACTATGTGATCTCTCCATGATCCAGAATAGTTTACACATTATTATTTCCATTTTAGTAGGTGCAAAGAGGATTGATTAAATCATTTGTCCGTGCAGTTCAACCCAACCCTTCCACGTGACTATCAACGGTAGAAGAGGGGGCCTAGCCACTGGGTTGGGTTCAGCTGTCAATTATTTTAGCATCCAACAATATCTCCCATACGTCGTAACTATTCCAATGAAGTAGCAAAAAGATAGGTTAAAACCCACAGAGTTTTTTTTATTTTTTCATAAACATTGTGTCTACTTTATCCCAGTAGGGCCCAGTAAGAGACTGGAAACCATTATATAGCTTTGTTCCAGCTCCCAGCATTTGAAGAACTAATTAGTTATAGGCATAAAATACTGTAATGTTTATGAAAAGAAAAGAAACTTGTTTGACTAAGAGTTGTTATCCTTTCTCTTTCTCTCTCTCACAGACCACCACTCTGCAGGTATGATTTTGTACTTAAAGAGAATGAGGAAGTATATCTCAGTCCACATACCTGCACACCAGGGGAAATATAATATGCCTTCTTCCATCAATTGTAACAACTTGCTTGTGAATTAAAGAAGTTGTAATAGGGAACAACATAATTAGTATTTCTTTTAGAATGTATTGTTCAATTAGGGATTCAGATATTTCTACTTCTTAAATAAAATTTTAAGACTCAAAAATATAAAAAATTTAAAAAATGCAAGTGGCAAAATATTCTGAATATATTCTAAAAGCTGTTTATTTCTGTTTACCTCAATCAAATGTTTATCATCAAATGTTTCTCTTAATTACTCATTATTAATAGATAATATATCTTCAGAAAAAAAGCTTGTTGTTCAATACAGTGTCTGAACATTCTCCACTTCTCAGACTGCAGTGGTAAAATAAACGAATGTTTTCAATTGTAGATTTGTCACTTGGAGAAGTCACTTGGATTAATGCAAATCTTATAATCATAAATATACCTTCTATTTAGTGATGTATTTAGCATTTTTTTGTAAAAAAAAAATGCTTTGTAAATAAAGATGTTGTTTCCATGGAGCATAATAATCTATGGGTCCATGATGTGTAAGGCCAATTATTGGGTCCACTACTACTGATGGTGTTATTATAATTACATATATCGCACTATGTTTCTGTGAAGATTGATTCAATAATTTGACTAGTATTTGCTTATAATGATAATAATAAAAACAATGATAGTCCCCTGGCTGGTTTGGCTCAGCGGCTGGAGCATTGGCCTGCGGACCAGCGAGTCCGGGTTCGGTTCCCTCTAGGGGCATGTACCAAAAAGAAAAAAAACAACCTATGATAGCTAACATGTAAATCACTGCATTCCTAATCATTTGTTTGTTATAAAACTATATAATATTGACCTTTTTTATCTCCACTGATGAAGAAAGTGAGGCAAAGAAATGTTACCTAACTTATCCAGGATCATAAACAAACCAGCTTTGCAATCTAAGAAGTCTGGTTCTTGTGACCATGTTTTAAACCCCTATAATATGTAGTTCTCCACAGTTCAATACATGTTAGTGGCCATGTTTACAAATATTACATTCAAATAGTAATCTAAATGTCCTTGGCATTGTCCTATTTACCTGTTCAGTCCAGGAATCCCTGGGCCTCAGGTCTCTCTCACTTATGTCTGGATGTTCCCGAGGTTTGTTCCATGTGTTTATAAACCGATCTGTCCACTTAGTCTCTGTGCTTTTGAATCCCTCCTGTAATAGAAAGAATTGTTGGGGCTGCCTTAACCAAGTATCACAGACAGGGTGGCCTGAACAACATGCATTTATTTCCTCAAATTCTGAAGGCCAAAGTCTAAGATCAAGGTGTCCGCAGGTTTGGTTTTTCTCCAGGGCCTCTTTCCATGAATTGCAGATGGCCACCTTCTTGCTGTGTGCTCTCATGGGTTTTCTCTGTGCATGGTGTCCTTTTGGTGTGTCTAATTTTTTTTTTTTTTTTTATCCTCACCTGAGGATATTTTTCCATTTTTTACTCAGGTAGAGCGGGAAGGAGAGAGAGGAAGAGAGAGAAACATCGATGTGAAAGGGACACATCGAGTGGCCGCCACCCACACGGCCCTGGACCCAACCAGGGCCGGGGACAAACTGCAGCCAAGGTACATGCCCTTAGCTCCGGGAACCGAACCCGGGTCTCTGTGGACCGCAGGCTGACGCTCTAACCGCTGAGCCAAACCGGCCAGGGCTAAATTTCCTCTTCTCATAAGGACACCAGTCAGATCTGAGTAAGGCCCACCCTAATGAATTTATTTTAATTCAGTCACCGTAAAGGCCCTATCTTCAAATGCAGGTACTGGGGGTTAGGGCTTTAGCATATGAATTGGGGGTGGTGGTAGTACACAGTTCAGCCCATAATACCTTTCATGACTTATTGGCTTCACAGTGATGAGCTTTGTCTAACAAGCCATTTGAAGGTGAATTGGGGCCCTTGTTGGTGCCCACCTGGAAACACTAATGTGTGAAGACCCTTGAAACATCACATGTGGTTCCACTTGCGCAGAGACAAATAGAGGCGCTTCTTCTTTGCATGGGGATTGAAGCATGCTGCCTGCACCTCTCTTGTCTGATGGTCACTTCTGAAACAGCTCCTTCAGTTTTGCTGCAGCCCCTCCTCCACAGGCCTCTGACTCCAGTCCACAGAGACACATCCTCTCTCTCCTCTGTCACTTACACATTTGCTCACAAATTCCCCACATTCTTAAACTAAACCACAAACTGTTATGTAATTTCACTTTTCCAATTCCCCCAATTAATTTGACAAATATCCTCAGAAAAGTTTGAATCTCAGTCAGTTACATTAAAGATATTTAAAATTAAGTAAAATGCACTATACACATGTTACCAGTCGTAGAAATCCTGCTCTCGTCTTTCTGGATGCATCGGGCCTCTGGATAACAGACACAGTAGCCACCTTGTCTCATGGTATGTTAATTACCCTGTAATCCTCACAATTACCCTGTAACCCTCACAACAACCCTTCCTTGCCATAGTGATAGAATCTTTCAAGGATAACTCAAAGACATAAACTTATGTAATGTTTTTAGGTTTTCATATTACAACATGTTCTCCATTATCCTAATTACAGTTTTATTTTTATTTTTGTTTTCAAGGTAAAGGTTAACAAGGAAAGGAAGCCTTGGAACTTGTCATGGTGGTGAGGAAACTAAGCTCCTCTGACTCTCAAGTTTATGGTCCTCTAAGAATATTTTACTATTTATTTTTTTCCAAATTTGTGGAAATCATAGATCAAAAATAGAAGTAAGAAGAAAAATATGTATTTTTCTGAGAACCATATGGAAGCACAGGTGTTCTATAGATATTATCTGGTCAACAAAAAGAACAAATAGCTATTATGCACAAAATATGTTCGAAGCCGAGCTGCTTTGAAGACATGATGCTCTGGATCAGATACAGAGGAGGCAGAGAGATGAGGTGTTTACATTCTTTGTCCTTCATAATGTATACTTGGCACAGGTTACAGATTTGGACTGAATGTTGTCTTTCAAAGTTCTCTCAACAGTATATTTTGAGGATTTTAGGTCAACATAATGGAGGAAGGTAAATGATGTGCTTACCTCTTTGTATGACCAATTGAAATTAAAGGCAATTTATACAGCAATCACCCTGAGAACCACCCGAAGACTAGCTGAACAGAACTCTTATAACGAATCTTAGAAAAAATAAGCTATGTCGAGACTGGTAGAAGGTGCAGAGATGTGAACAGGTGGCCCCACATCCGTGTGCAGGGTTGAGAATCAGGAGGGATATCTTGGCTACATAGGTCCCCACTGAGGAGAATGGGGTAGCAGTCCCAAACTGGGTTCCTAGCCTGGAGTACCAGTGTGAGAAAGAGAAGCCCCCACAACTTCTGGCTGTGAAAATCATCAGGGACTCCATCCAAGTGAGACAGAGGGCTCTGTAGACCCAGGCAGCTACAAACACGAGCTCTAAACTCCAGAGAAGGGGCAGCAGCTCAAAAGGCACCAGGGACACAAGGGGAGGAACTACATTGGCTGGCGTCAAGGTGAGGGTGGAGGGGCAGCTCTCTCTGAACTAAAGGAGAAGACAGCAAGAGACTGAAAATCTATGTGAAGAAAGAATGACCCAAAACTTCCCTAACCCAGTGAAAAGAATAGATATACAAGTCCAGAAAGTGCAGACAGTCACAAACTAGATGAACCCAAAGAGGCCCACGCCAAGACATGTCATAATTAAATGCCTAAGGTTAAAGACAAAGAGAGAATCTTAAAAGCAACAAGAGAAAATCAGTTAAGACTGTCAGCTGAGTTCTCAACAGACATTTTGTAGCTAGTGTTAGCTCTAACTTCCATATTACTGCCCCAAGCCTCTTACATCTTTTACTTTCATATTGATGCCCTAAGCCTCTCATCCAGGAAACCAAAACCCATCACTCCAGTCAGGAGGAACGGAATGAGGAACTACCCTAACCCACCTAAAGCTGCAAACGGTCGCTCGACAAGAAAAACAAGTTCAGGAGACCCCAGCCTCCCACCAATCAAGAACTCGGGAGACCCCAGCCCGGACCAATCAATGTTGACCACGACTCCTCGGCTGAACGACCACCCACCCCAGCCCTAAATTTAAAAATTCTTAGTCTGGATGAGCCGGTTGCTATTTTCTCCTTAGAGGTAGCCCGGCAGGTTTTTTCCTCAATAAACCTGCACTTCTGGTTCCTCAGCACCGCCTCGTTCTTACAGCTGGAGGAGATTGATATGAAATATTTAAAATGAAGAAAAGCAAGAACCTAGAACCAAGATTACTCCACACAGCAAGGTTATCATTAAATCAAAGGGTGTTAAAGAACTTCCCAGACCAAACAAACAAAAAAAGGAGTTCATTACTACCAAACCAGTATTACAAGAAATGCTAAAGAAATTTTTTTTTTAAGAAGAAAAAAAAGTATGAATAAGAAAATATCACAAAGGAACTTCCGGTCAAGATGGCGGGGAGGTAAACACGATATCTTTTCCTCCCACAACCACATCAAAGTTACAACTAAACTACAGAACAACCATCATTCAGAACCACCTGAAGTCAGCTGAATGACAGTCCTACAGCTACGGGATTAAAGCAGCAGCCACACGAGACTGGTAGGAGGGCGGAGGGGACAGGCTGGGCCCACACCCACGTGTGGCGGATAAAAATCAGGAGGACACCTCGGCTGGGAAGGTCCTCCCTGAGGACTGAGGGGTCCCCGTCCCACACCAGGTGCCCCGCTCAGGGTTCCAGTGCCAGGAAGAGAATCCCCATCACTTCTGGCTGGAAAACCAGCGGGAACTGAGGCTCAGGGGGGCTGAGGCGGCTGGAGCCCCAGGCAGCTCCTTAAAGGGCCAGCGCACGGACTTATCGGACTCTCTCCCTCTAAGCTTGGAGGGGAGGCAGCTCGAGGGGCGCCAGAGACACACAGGGAAGAACTGAGCTGTTTGGCACTGGAGCGAGGGCTGGAGAGGGGGCTTTCTCCAGGACAGACGTGCTGTCAGAGG